CGTTTTGCTGCTCGTGGTTACAATAAAACATTACAAATGCATTAATGCAAACCTGACTTCAAACTCCATATTCCTAAATTTGCTGAAAATTTGTAACAGATACGTTTCATTTGTCAATGTAAGGAACTTAAACATGGACTAGTTCAAGTTAACCTGAAACAAATTTTAAGTCTAGAAAAGACATTAGTAGGTCATGTGGATGCTTGACTCAGTATGTTCTGTGTTTCAATTATCTGTGCAGACCTTTTGGTTGAATTATTTGTGTCTTATTCATCCTTATCTTAAATACAAGCTTTCTCTCTTCTCATGCAATCGTCTGTTTTAGGGCTGCAGTCTCAAAGAACCTGCAAGTCTCTCCTCACCTTCCTTTCACGTTCTGTCACCGAACCCATCGTGATAAAAACAAAGGTACATTTTTTCCCAAAGCTATTCTGAGTTCCAGAAAGAGCCCATGTGATGCTAAAAAATGCGTGTGGTATCAACAAACCCGCTGCTGGGCTGTGTGTCTCTCACTTTGTAGTGGAGTTATCAGAAGGGAGAAGGAAACTGTAAGTCGCTGGGGCTCGTCTACGCTCTGGCTCGGACAGCGCTGTGAGAGAACATCTCCATCTGCACGGGGGATGCATCTTCCCTGACCTGGTCCGTAAGACAACTCAAAGCCGTGAGTTCGTGAAGGCATAATTAGCTTCTCACTCATTACTACATTCATGGGAAGAGAACTGAACTATGACAAGAAACTAAAACCAAATAATATATCAAGTTTGTTGCACTTTTTTTTTCCATTGAAACTTCTTGCTGGTCAGAGCTTCATTAAAACGTATCAGCAAGATAAGAATCACGATTAGAATTGAGACTTTTTTTCCTGCAAGCTAAATTGCTTCTCAAAAAGAGTACTAAAGGTTAAGTTATTTATTTAAATTCTCTAGACATGAGACACTATCACTTAAGAATACTGAATCCTAAACAGCAGCGTTTGGAAGAACGCAGTCTGATCTCTTACAGAGAAAGTCAGACACTCAGGCGCGTTTTTCTCAATTTAAGAATTCAACTTGAGAACAAAAATATTTCCAGCTTCTTTCTCAAGCCTTCAAAACAACTGCGTCTCACACCACAGTGTAATTTTTCCTCAGGGTATCTCGAGGGATTTATGTTATCTAACGTCAGTGTTACAGGCAGCAGCTCCTTGACATGCTGATGCCAAGATACAGGCATGGAAGTGTGGGAAGAGAAAACCTGAGGTTTTTGGTAGCTGTTTTGTGTCAGGTAAAACAAGCTTTTCCTCAGAATTTGGCAACAGGAGCCTTTTTAAAAAATGAGGTAGAGCAGTAGTTATTTTTCCCCAGGGCAGGAAGAGTGAGCTATGCTTCCTGACAAGGAGTAAAATGTTTTACAAAGCTTACAGACGAAGGCAGTGGCGTGTACAGGTGCAGGAGCCTGATTCTCTAAGAGCGGAGACTAGCAGGATATGCTGTTTCTCTACCCATCTTAATTACTCACGGAGAGGGCTGTTTGCGCTACAAAAATCAAAGTAGAAATCCACTCGTCTCATACGTATTCTCCCCTTCATTTTTGCAGAATTCCAACAGATCTATTTCACAAAGCAGTTCAGCACACTTAGGAGCGGAAATTATTTTCAAGCATCGTGTGCTATCTACCAACGCTTCCCGAGTGATGATAAGCCACGTCTGGGTACTCAACATCCAAAATACAAAAGGGCGCTCTGCCAGACTCCGCTTTTAGCAATGCTTACTACCGTGGGTCTCGTAGGTGTAAATGGTAATCATTTGTTCCTTTAGTAATGGAAAAATGCTTACGGCAACAGCAGGTACGATACCCCAGTGACATCTAATAGCGTGAGAGATGTCCCATACTCACCTATAGCCTCTGTTTTTGAAGAGACGATAAATGGACCGGGAAAAATAAAGCTTACTTTGATGAGTGCTGAGTTTATATTTTGCCTATGCAATTAAGTTTAATGCTATGAAGTCATAACTGTTTATCTACTCCCCATTAAATACTACCTTTGAAACCACTATATAAACTGGATTGGGTCTTCTGTCACAGCTGCAAAAAACGTGAAAAGTAATTTCTGACTGTCTGGTTTGGAATATGATGCAGAAAAGGTGGATTAGCCAAATAAGTTATATTTCTACTTCATATTGTTACATTTAGTGTCTGGCTATTAAAATGTTTCCACCATTATCAATGCCACTTAAAAATAATTACAAAATACTTCTTTCCAATACTTCTATCCTTTATCAAAAAGGAAAAGCTCAATTAAATCAATACACAAGTCAGACAGTGATGAATATTCTAAACTGCATTTATTGTTTCCAGACATTAATGTAATACATAAACACATTAATTAAAAGGGGGGATATAGTAACAAGCAACCCATTAACAGAAACAAAGCAAGTCTTTGAAATTTGTGTTGTATACTTAACACATGAAAATGTCCCGAAAAGTTAAGTAGTTGTCAGTCAACATAGCAAGGACTTCAGATATTAAAAAACCCAAACAACTCATTAATGAGTTTGTCATAACCAAAATGTTTGGTTTGGGGTTTTTTTAAAATTTATTTTTAGGATAAAAAAGAATAACCATTACTTCATGCAGCATACAAAGGCTTTGAAACAAATCCATTAACGCAAATGAAAGACTAACTCCTGAGGCTTTTTTTTTTTTAACACCAAAAAAACCTCAAGGAGTTTCACAAAATTAATTTCAACTAGTTTTCTTAAATCCTTTCTTAGCACTGAAGAACAAACCTGTAACTTCCTTGCACTCCAGAAATTTACTCAGAGGTACCTCTTTCAATACAAATATGTTCTTGTAATGTATCCAAGAGTTCTTTAATTTACAAGAGCTGCAAATGAAATTTAAGTGCAAAAATGTTTTCTTAGTGTTTTCCAATTATTGAGGTAAATAGCTGAAAAAAAAAAAGAAAAAAAAAAGGAGGGTAGCAGGGTATCAACTGTATGTACACCAGAGTAAAAAAAAAAAGGCAACTCTGAAATACATGGTTATGGTGCATAAGGGAGACGTGAAAGGATTGAGGAAGAAATAACAGCAACAATCAACAGTTCCCCAGCAGAACTTTAAACCAAAGCTCTTGAAATCCACCCAGCAGACCACCAATAGCTGAAAATAAAGCGTGTTTATGAGCATGTCTGGCGAGCTGGACTATTGGGGAAGAGGCCGTACAATAGTCACAATTATAGCTGACTGCCTGACAATGCTGAGAATGTAAATGCTGCTCTAACAGCTGCACCGCATCCCGACCGACTACACAAAGACTAAAAGATCCACCAAATGATGAGTTCCTGACGGCAACAACGGGGTCACAATTACAGAGCGGTAGCGTCTATAGTAAAGAATATAATATATGGCAAACAAGAGACTGAGTTACCAAAATGCGTTATAAAAAAGTATAAAAAAGTTGTTTTTAAAAACTTCCTAAAAATGTCTTCTTTTGGGAAGGAGGAATATTAATCTGTGGCCTGGCATTATTACAATAACTGAAGTGGTTGTATCAGATTGCTGGTAATCGACTTCTTGCAAATCAGAGGTGCGCTTGTAAAATGCCCCAGGGTGAATGCCTGAAAGCTGGCCAGACAGTCGGGGAATTTTAATATCTGCAGCAGAATCAGCTGTGTTTGTAGAGGGTGGACTAACAGACTTGGGTCGGAAATCTCTTTACTTGGTATGCGGAGGATAGTGTGACACAGAGGATCTAACAGACGATTTTCAGTTCAGTCCCACTGGCTGGATCCCAAACACAGTCCTGAGTATATTCTGGGTTTCTTCCTTTCGAACCTGTCTCGCTGAGGAAGATGTTTGGTCGCATGCCTGGTGAGCCATGGCTCTGAGTCCCCACCAAACCCATCAGAAAAGGCCACTCTCACGAAAAGGCATTTTGAACTTGGGGGAAAAAAAAGAAAAAAAAAAAAGAGGAAAGTGTGAGCTATTAGCTCAGGTGAAAAACCAAGCTGCTGTTTTTCAGGATTACTGAACCCCAATTAATCATCCTTGGATAATAAGCTTTTTGACAGCAGACAAGTCTAGTATGGGCCCCTGCTCACACTGGCTACTAGCCATGACCACCGTGAGGCTTGAGTTAAATGAAGTGGATCCCAGCTTCTACAGCCTGGTAGGGCTGGGAAGGGACATCTTCTTGCTTCAGGTTCACCTAAAGGATCCTCCTGCCATTTCTCCCCACCGTTACCCTATTCAGCAAACCCCAAGTTCGCAGTGAGCTCTATCAGTTCCATCTGCTTTGAAACCCAAGGCAAATTGTACAGTTTCCAGCCAAATCCTCAATCTTTCAAGGTCTTCAATAGATTTTTTTCCCCCTCATTCTGGGGCATGTTTTAAAGCCCAAGAAAAACTTGCTATTGCGTTTAGATATGAAAAGTGCCACAACAAGGGATGCAAAAGTCATCTCACCTTTCCCAGATTTCAAAGTTCATGACGCTATAATCCAAGCCCAAGTCAATCCCACCAATTCTTTAGCCACAGTAAGGTCTATCTTAATCTTAAGAGTACAGTGAAGTTATTTGCTCTTCAAGCTGATCTGACCTGCATTCACCAAAAGCAATACTCTCTTCTCTTCGAACACTCATGTGTTCCAGAAATCTGATACTACCAACTCAATGTATTGTAAATGAAATTTAACTTTACAAAAATTCAAGATTTACAAGATCGAAGATGCATTTCATTTTTTCTTAGCAGTTACTTCTAAACTCCTTTGAACTGCTCTGTAACTTCAAACCAAACACTTACCTACTCCGCCTCCTCCCCCTTGACATTATCTTCTCAGCCACAGATTCAACTTTATTTTAAAAATGTTGATATAATACAATGTATGTGGAAATGCCATGAACCACAGAATTAGAAGACTAAGCCTTAACATTCAGGAGAGCAGCATAACCTCTCTTGCCATATCATCCCTTATATAGTAGGAGGGTTGATTTTCTTTTTTTATTTATTTTGTTACTTCTACCATAAACATGAGCTTAATCCAAAAACCACATTCAACTGTACATTTTCTGAGGCTTCAGAAGATGCCTTCCCCCCCCCATTTAAAAAGAAAAAAAAAGAATCTAGGTTAGATAGAAATGATTAAATACAAGGTCCTTTTGGAGTCCACCATCAAAGGGTGGTTATCCAGAAGTAGTCATCTTCCTCGATCTTGATGTTTTTTTGTTTTCGTCTTTTTCTTTTTGTCCTCTGTTTTGGGTTTCAATGCACAGACACATGCAGACACACCAGCAATTGCTTTGGGTAAGTCAGTTCCTTTGTACCACTTATTTTTCTCCTTATCATAAACCTGGACTGTTTTGGAAAAGACTGTTTCTTCCCAGCTGTAGCCACCAAGAATATAAATCTTGCCTTCCCAAACTGCCACCCCTGACTCACTGTTTGCTTGCAACAGAGGAGCAACTCTGGTCCACTGGTTACATTGAGGGCTGTACGACTCCACGCTCAAAATGTCAAAACGAGCCATGGTTTCTATGTTGTCATCGCTGCCACCAATGGAGTAGATATTGTCCTGTAAGGTGCACATGCTGTGCCACCCTCGGGCAGTGATCATTGGCCTCTTCTCCTCCCAAACATCTGTGCGGTAATCGTAACACAGCAGGTTTTTTCTATAGGGGCCAATTTGGTAATCATGACCTCCTGAAATGTACACAAATTCCTTGTAGACTGTTCCAGCATGGCCGTAGGTAAACCTAGGACAGGCAAACAAAAATGATCTGACTTAGTACTTACGGATTTTATCAAGATACACAAGCATTCAACAAGGACTGGTACTAAAGAAGAAAATAAACAGTAACTAAAGACAGAAGAATCCCTAATCCTGTAAGTTACCCAGTAACTACTCTTATTCATACTGCTTCACCCTGCGCTGCAGAGCGCTAAGGTACGACAATCACTTTTTAAGGCATCCTTTTCATACCTGGTCGCTACAGAGCGCTAAGGTATGACAATCACTTTTTAAGGCATCCTCTACAGTGTGTCATACAACAGAAGTAACCCATCCTGCTCTAGTTGGCATGGCCTTCACTCCCATTTTCCTGCTCCAGTGCTTGGGTTGGATCAGTCTGAGAGGGCCAGAGAGGAAAAAATCCACATCTCAGCAAGGGTTTCTATGACAGAAAGAGGAAATAATCATGATACCTCTCAGACTTACCAGTAGCGATTAACCAAGAAAAACCAACAAGAAAACTAGTGCTGCCTTCCCCTTCCACAGCTTCAGGATCATGAATCACATTTCTTACCCACTAGCGTTCACAGCCCAGTTTATTTGTAGTCGTGATACATGTAGTGTCCTTTTCATGAGCTATCCATCTGCTCTGCCACTTCTGCTATACAGGTGATAACTTTTTTGGTCACCCCAAGACAAGGCAACAGACCTCTGTCAATCATAGATCAGAGTCCATGTTTGAAATATGAGAAAATGAGATGGTAGAACCAACATCATGCATGCTGTTTCCACAGGGCAGAAAGAAACCCCCTTTGATCAGCTATAATAAAGCCACTACAAACATAATTCTTGAGGCTGTTCGTAACTTCACACTAGGATATTCCTGACCAAACCCCTTTGAGCTCTTAGAAGTGGAATGCTAAGGTGAGGGGCAGCCTTGGCTTCTTTGAACATACCTTTCCTGCACATGCCTTTTTTTCTTTTTTCGGGTGTGGGGGGTGTCAAAAGATGTAGCTGCAGCACCAGCCACAGCACACTGGCTCACACGCTGGTACAAAGAGCCCAAACAATTAAATACCGATAGGGCTGCAGAGCAATATACTCATCATGCTGCACTCACCAGCCTCTACTACCGTCCTTTGTAGTCAAGGACTCAAGACAACTGAACCTCTATGGCAGACAAACCTACGTTAGCATTACTTTAGCCTGGAATGCTTTTGAACCATGCCTGAACAGGCTGGAAACTCAATGTGGATAGAACCTTGAGCTGTTTTTATTTCGCATGGTAATAGTTTCTCTCAGCTACACAAACGGTATCATAACTTCTTCCACACACCTAAATGCCAAGCACTTTTGTGCCAAGGGAAAAGGTGGAATAGAAAAGAAAACCCACATTTACCCTGAAAGCACACTTCTGAGAAAAGCCAAAAGATGTTTATTATTCTAGATGCCTACTGAAGCTTCTGATCCCTGACCAGTGTCTGAATCAGATATTTTAACAGGCTCCTCCTACAACAAACAGAAAAACCCTTGACACACTTGGCCTAAGAATGCTGAGTGACCAGGACAGACTTTTCAACTACAGGGGCTGGAGCACCATCCCTGGAGACCTTGCAGAGATGACTTCAGAACTATACTGCTTCTTAGCCACTCAGGAAAAAGAAAGAAAGAAAAAAAAGAGAAGACTAAGGCAAAGTTATGAGACTTTATCCAAAAAGGCAACTCAAAAATTTCACAGCTCACAATCTGCCTAACCATGGAAGCACATAACTCATGCTCAGTGCTTCTGTTTGACATGAAATATCCTGAGCACGTGCACTCCAGCTTTTGCACCTGCCAGAAATGCTATGGCAGGTGTGGTGTATGTAGATGCTGCTCTGCCTTGTTTGTGGTCTCTTACGGACAAGAACTGGGAGCGTATGTCTGCAGTCTGGTTGCTGGAGTCTTTGCTTCTCTATATACACAGGAATGGGTCTTAAAAAGTAGACTACCTACCTGGGAAGTGGAATGGGTAACTTGAATTCATTTCCGTTCTCAAACTGCACTAGATTTTAAACCCACATCTAACCAGCAAACTACCTGGAGGACGTGCAGTGCACTCCACTGTGGAGGTACTGTCAGATAACAGATAGTTTTGAGGAGTCAGAAGGAGAAGAGTGCAATGACATTGAACCCAACACAAGCCCCAGGGTTACTGTACTGCTGACAGCAACCACATTACATTCAGCATTTGGGGGGGAAAAAAAAAAAAATGACCGTAAGTTAAGAAAAATTTGAGCGACCTTTGGAGAAGTAGGTTAAATGTTTTCCTTCACTAACTGAAAAGTGGAATTCTCTACAGGTAAGCAAGCAATAGCCATTTTCTCTCAAGCACATGCAAGCAGTCTAGCACAGACAGCTACAGAAAAAACACTGATGCTTTTCTTTTTGCCTCAATCCATGGGTATGTCTAGTGAACAGCAATAGCTGCAAGAGTAATTTGAAAGAGGCAATCATATCTGAAGCATCAAATCGACCATCAATTTGTTATTTTCCAATATAGGGAGATTACCCGTTGAAATACACTAGAGGTGTTTCACTTCGCCTGGCTTCTGAAAAGCTCATCCAACATTGCACATACCCTGCTTCACATTAATAGAAAACTGCATGAAATACAATGCACAAATTGAAAACAATCAATAAGAATCCTTTCTGCAAGCCCTGTGGTTTAAACAGGGGCATTTCTAAATGTGCAACAGAACAGGACACTTCGATACAGTGGGTCCAGACATCCTCCAACAGAAAGCATCAAGCGTTTTGGCAGCGTTATCTATAAGAGTGGCCAGAAAAAGAGGCATTAAGGAGAAGGAAGTTTCGATTCAGAACATTTGCTAGAGCCAGGTGCCAATTTTGAATGACTGACTTAGATACAATGCTGCAAAAATTACAGTTTCTGACACAGTAACACCATTCAGTAAATGCTAGAAAATCTATCATTTATTTTCTTAAACCGAAGAATGCTTGGCCTAACTCGATAAAGCTTTGGGAATCCCCTGCTCCAACCAAAGTCCAGGCGAGCTGTGGTTGCTCTGAATCTCTGTGTCCACCTGTTGCAACCCTGCGAGATCATTCATGACACAACTAGCAGAGCAGATACCATCATTCATTAACCTGTTCCAACACATTTCCTCATACAACTGCTTTCAGTTGTTCTGCCAAACTTTAACCTAGGGCCACTCAATTAATTTCACTGATGTCTGCAGCAGACTTTTTCATGGTCTATTCAAGATGAGAACACATTGCACCAACTTCTGCTCTGCCAAGCTTGTCAGCCACCGCTGCTCCCTTCCGGGCTAGAAACTATGGCAGCAACTGCTCCCAAAGAGCCTGGGAAAATGGTGAAAAAAATACAGGACCTCTCTGAAGAACGGGAAAAGTATCCCACAACCAAGGACCCTAATGAGAGTCAGGCAAAATTCACTTGTAGCAAACTTGGACCAGGTCCACCCTTTAGATAGCTTGGCTGAAGTTTTCCATGTTAAGCATCTGCCTCGAGAGGCTGTGTTTTCTTCTTCAGTAAGACAGCATTATTTCAGTCAAAACAGCTCAGCTCCTTCCAAGAAAGTGGTTAGGGAAAACAACATGTTGTTTTGACCACATTGGGGTGGGAAGGGGGTGGGGGGGAAGAAGAGATAAAAAAGAGCTTTCAAAGCTCTTCCTTAGAGGAGCACGACTGTGCCCGTGTACAGCAACATGGACAAAGGATTTGGCAGTGGGCAGAAGGCATGTATATTCAAGGACACAACCATTGCCTTTCCCCTGAAAATCTCCACACACGGCAAGCTATAACCCTTGGGAAAAAAAAAACCAAAACCATTTTCTGCATATTCAGAATAGAAGTTTTAAAAAATATAACCTCTAGCAGTCCAACCCCACACAGCTCAAATCGAACCACGCAAGCCTACACCCCAGAAGGACCTCAACATGTGTGCCGATCACTCCAGGCAATAGTCTTCCAGGCAGCTCCTGGCTTAGAGCAGTCAAAAACACCACCAGAGCTGCGGGCAGGGAGCCTGCTTCTGGTGGCCATGCACCCAAGAGGACAAAAAACCTGCACATTTTCTCTTCAGAGGAAAGACGACAGAAAAATGCAGGAAACAAGGCAGCTCTGTTGGGACATGTTGCCTGATCAGGCAATGAGGAAGCAGAGGATTAGAGCTTCTGATTTCCTCTACATGAGGAGAAAAGACTCGCTGCTAGAATAGGGCTGGGGAAGATGTTATTTGGGTAAAAACAGTAACTAAAATCGGTCTGAGAAACAAAAGCGTGTGGTGGGGAGGAAAACAGAGATCAGATCAAGAAGCATGTTGAAGGGAAGACAGAAGTACACAGAAGGAACTGTAGCTAGCGTGCTTTCTTCTAGTCTTGAATAGATCACAAAATTCTCTTTCATCCTTCCTCTGCTGAAGTACATCAGGAAAGGACTGCCCAGATCCCTTCCAGCAGCCGCCCACACCTGCCAGAGCCTCATCTCTCTGAGGTCAAGCAGCATTCGTTTGCCTCTGCATTCAGGTTTCTCTCCGTTGTCCACCTCCACGCTGATTTTTGCCTTTTGCAACCTGCATAAAGTTCTTTTAACTTTATTCCTTCTGTGCAGAAAAACAGTTGTTGCAAACAATGTATCACCCAACGCAAGAGTTCTCCAAAAAGTACAAGTGAAGGTACTAAGTGTCCATTAAGATCTAATTAAAGACATATTAACATGCAAGAGAGCAGCTACATGGAAAAGTGGGAAACTATCTAGTTCACTACGCAGCTGCACAAACCCCTGAGCTGGCACAAGGGACAGTTAGCATGGGACGAGGACAGAGCAGGCAGGAAGAGAGGATGCAAAACTATTTTTTTGGAATGCAGCAATAACTTAAAATAGTCACTGTACTACAGCCTAACCCTGCAGCTTAGCAACCAGCTAAGTTAGTGTAAGTGAGGTCTATCCCATAAGGGGGACTTGCCCAGTCCAAGCAGATCAGCTAGGCAATCTAATAAAAAATTAGCATCCCCCCATGTCAAAGTTCACTTTTAAATGCTGCAGCTGCAAAATTCCCAAAGCCGACACACAGGTAGAGGTAGGAACATGCAGAAAAACTGCCCTTTTTCGGGTGGCTTACAGTCTGCAAGCTTCCCCAGGACCACTTATATGCTGGAAAAAAAATATCCATACCAGTTCTAAGGTGAGTGTTTTTCTAACAACATACAAGGCAGTCAGGTCACATCTACATTTCTTTGAAAAATGTGTAAAAAAAAAACAAAAAAAAAAGAAAAAAAGAAAAGCTGTGCTACAATTTCTATGAGATGTTACTGGGATCTCACAGGTCATCACAATTAACAGAAGGGCTTAGGAACTGAAGAGACGCAGCTTCCCAGGAGAGATTGTGGTATTTAGCCTCAACTGCTAGATCTGCCTATGTGAGCAGAAATAAAACAGAAAACAGCATCCTGCTTCTGAAGAGCACTCGAGCCCAGCTGTTAGCCTGGATCAGACTCGCATTGCAGCACCTACCCAAAATAGAATTGGGCAACAGGCTTCTGTGCCTTCACTGGCTGCCTATGGCTCTGCAGTTCTGCAGCTAAGGGAATAAGGGAAAAAACCTGAACTCTAAAATCAAATTGCAAGTATCTTGTTCGTGATGCTGCTAAGAAAGCAAGCACTGCTGCTGAAGTTGCAGGTTTCAGACATCATGGAAATACCATCCATATAGCCAATACTCCTGTAATTTCCATGAATGTGAAATATTACTAAATCTGAACAGCTGTTTGCAAATGAAATGCTATCGTACCATTCTTACGAAGTCACCACTCAAACGTTGATCAAAATATTAGCAATGTCCTGTGTTGCTGTTACAAGAAGAGCTGCAGTTCTAAAGCCTCTCAGAAGTAGAGCAGCTGAGTTTTAACTCAGACTGAGAGAAAGAGAGGTCACATTTGCCAGGGTTATCTATTTGCAATACAGGTAAATGTGGTTTATCTGCAACAGCCAACCTGAGCAGCCAAACAGAGAGAAACACCTTACAAGGAAAACAATCACACCAAGGTGACAAAGTAAGGCCAGATAAATTATGAAAGCCTTTGATCAAGATCTAAACAGTGCCTCTGAAAAGATTCAACTCCAAGTGACCTCAGGAAAGATATTTTAAGAATAGTAGAGCGAAATTACAAGAGCTCTCCCTCTCATCCTTCAGACGTACCTCAGGACAAAAATTAAAACCAACCAAGCTGACGTGAGGCACACTGCCTGGAAGAGATGGCTGCTCAAATACCAAATGCTGCTATAGTTCGTTACTTGCTGATACCATGTTGGTTATGTATCCCCTTGCCTCCCTTCTAGGGACACCCGTTCATCAGCTAAAGTCACACAAGCTCTCTTTACTACCGTTCTTCAAACACATGATAACTTTCCAAACACCTCCGTTACCTGGGCAAGCCTGCTATATAGGACCACGAATCCTTCTGAGGACTGTAGGTCTCAACTGAAGAAAGTGCCCCATTTTCATTCCTGCCACCAACAGCTACCAGCATGTCGGTAATAGCTCCCAGGTAGAAATCTACACGGCGTTGTCTCATGGAGGCAACCTGTCAAAAAGAATAATATGCTGACATCTTCAAACATCTGGTAAGCAAGCTGAGTTAAGGTGTATTTGTGTCTGAGGATAGGATAGTTGCTTCTTCCCATTTATTTGGAAAGGAGAGCTACTGGTCTTGACCATTATATTCATAAAATACTTCTGTTTTTCTGCAGTAGCATGTTACATAGCATTCATTTTCAAAAAAGGGGACAACAGGAAGCATCTAAGAGACAGGTTACTCTATAAATGTTTGCGTTACATGGGCCTCCTTCCAAAACTCTGCAAGAAACATAAATTGGAATCACTCAAAACCACAACTGAACCTCACAGGATGACTGGTTCATATAGGAACCTGCACTGGCCACAGGGTTCTACAGCAGGACTTGGAAGTGAATAGCTTGTTCTAAGGGACATTTAGCACAGAGACATTTGACAAGTGTCAGAGACATTTTCTTTTTACCTCAGACCCATTTTTGATTTAGTTAGATGTGCTACTGCTTGAGAAAGATGAACTAAGCAATCACCTCTGTAAGTCCATTCTAGCATTTTTCCCAAAAGTAATCTTAAGAGTTGCAGGTGGATGCTGACCAGGAATTTCACAGATGAGATGCCCAAATCCCAAGGGAAGTTGAAAATCTGCCCCAAACTCTTTTGCTGTGTGTGTAACTTAAGCATTCCCACAAAAGATTCAAGTAGCTGCTTTTTCAACTTAAAGAACTTGAATTTCCATTTGCAAGTGTTGCTATGTTGGCTATTCTAACAAGCCCTGTCCTTCCACCAAAAAGAAGAAAATACTCTAAACATTAAGGACTTTAAACAGAGAAATAATACAGCTTAAGTCTCACCTTTATCCACTGGTTACAGCGGGGATCATACCTATATAGGAGATTTGAAGCTGCATCCCCTCCATTGTCTCTTGAAAAGCTGCCTCCGGCTATGAAGATGAAGCCTCCCAAGACTGCAACACAGTGGTGACTTCGTCTGGCTGGGAGAGGGGTTTCTGCTACCCACTGCCCCTTCCTGATGTCCAAGAAGCAGGTATCATCACTCAGTTCCAGGCACCGTTCGGAAACCTCCCCACCCACAAAGAGGAGCCTTTCCTCGCAGGTCCGCAGGGCTGTCCGTTTGTTCTGCAGCACTGGCTGAGCCGTGACGTTATTATGATAGTTCACTGCCTCCTCTATAAACCCCTCACAGTTTGCTTCTTTGGGAAGAAGAGAGCAGACAGCAGGCTTGACTCGATGGAGGAGATCACTTTTAGGTATCAAGGGAAAATGAATGTTATCCAGAACCTGGTAAGCCTCATTCTCCCTTTCCGGGTACTGGGTAAGCCACTGCAAGGCAGCCTGCAGCAAGTCGTGCTCACACTCCTGCTGCACGTTGCTGCTGTCCAGGTATTGGCACAACTTCTGCAAGGAAATGTTCTGCAGGAAGTCTGGGGTGAAAGACAGCGTGCCGAAGTTCTGCAAGATGAAAGAATCAATGTAGGAGTCAAGGCGCTTCAGGTTGTAAATGGAGGCTAGCTCTTGCAGGTACAAATAGTTCTCCTCACTGACTTCATTCTCCAGATACTCGCAACAGAAGTCGACCACCTTCCAGATCTGCAGCAGGTGAGCTGTTTCGAGCACATAGTCGATATTGCCTCCATCTAAAGACAGCTCACTGCCATAAAGGAAATCCACCACAGCCTTGAGACCAATATACGAGGCTCCAAAAAGTTCAACCTCTTTTTGGTGGGCTTCTCGCATACCAATGGTGAACATAGAGTTGAAGTAGTCACTGCAAACAGCGAGGAGGTTCCGATGGGCAGGGACTCTCTGTTCATCCACCACGAGGACAATGTCACAGAAGAGGCCTCGGTGCCTCTGCTCATTCAGGCTCTGAAGAACTAGATTGGAGTGGTCATCCCACCTGTACACCTGGAATAAACAAACAGTATCAGGCAGATGTTATCTTCACCACGATAAATTTCAGCGTGCACAAAGTGTTTTCCCATTAGATGTCGTCATACACAAGAGAAAGCAGGCTTACTTGTGTTGCACATTTATAGTAAATTCTGACTTGAAACAGTTGGCAAGCAACATAGTATGAGCCCAAGCTCCTCATCTTCACTTTGAAAGGCCTATGCAGACTTTTACTGCTTCCTACTCCCCTTTTTTTTATAATCTACTCATACCTCCTCCACAATACTGCATCCGAACCTCTTCCCCGATGATTTATACAGGCACAATTTTCTGAAACTCTTCCACTCATTGTCTTCGAGACATCTTGCTGACATTTCCTTTCTTTCTTGTCCCCCAAATGACTCCTTACAGAGTTGTTCTCAACTAAGCTACTCGCTAAATATTTGGAGTGGGAGACACACACGCAGCAGTATGCCTAATTTTCATTCAGCCCATGTATTGTTTGGGTTAGTGCTTACTTGACAGCTACCCCCTCTTAAATCTTTTCAGAACTCTGCATTTCTAAGCTCGTTAGGGTAAAATCCCTCTCTTTCTTTCCATATTATTCCAGGCACACACACTGCATTCAAAAATAATAGCTGTTTATTTATGTGCAAAGCCACACATGTGGATAACTTATTCCCATAAGACTTCTACTTGCGTCCAGAAGCCGAGGTAGTTTTTGTTTTAATGAATACGACTAAATATTTTTCTTTTAAAGAAAGGGGAAAATGCCCTCGGAACATGTCCGTTAAGTGCCCTTCTGGGATCCCTCTGGTCCAGACATTCTTCCCACCAGCCCTGTACATGCCACAGAGCTTTTGAGGCAATCAGTGTTCGCCTCTTTCTCACAGACTCGTGTTACCGGTCTTAAGAAGAACCAAAATGGAAATGTTTTGTTACCCCTTGAATGTCCTGCAGAACACGTATTGAAGGGGCTGGTCACCCCAGTATGTCAAGCGACGCAGCTTTTAGGACCATCTTCCGGAGGAATGGAATGCTTGATGGTACAGTCAGTTACCTTGTGATGTCTCTTAATAAAAGCCAGGTTAAGTTAAATGCAAATACATAACTTGTAATTACCAAATCCAAAACAGGCAGAGTTGCAGAGCCTGTAAGAACATGTAAGAGAAATGAAAGGAGGTGGAAAGGAAGCACATCTTTGTATCATACCTAAGTTAGCTCCAACCAGTTCTGGCTGTAGGACCCTGGGTCTTGCCCAGTTCTACACCCTCAGACTGCATTCCCAGAAGTGACACCCTGAAAAGGTGTCTCACTCCATACCTACATTGAAAACAGTCACACAGATGAGCTGAGGTTGCTTCAAGCGTCTCAGGCATTCAACCTTTCTTTCACCAAACTGTTGCTTCTCCTAGAAATCCTAACTACCTGTGGCTTTCCTGGTTTCCCAAACAGAAAGCACACGATTATTGCTGTCTGGCTAAGCCATTAATGGTTGGTTAAATCATGGTGAGACAACCTTTCTACCTACCTGGGTGGGAAAGGTTCAAGTCCTAGAGCCAGGTTTTTTCCCCTGCATGCAACCCTCACTCTAGATATGCACTCTGCGTACACAGTTTGGTAACTGTACTTTTATATGATGAGATAACCAGAATTAACGCACACAGCTCACCACTGTCCAGACGTGATGGCAGCCAATCATCCTGAGCTAATACCAATCCTGGGAGCCTGACCTCCCACGTCTGCCTTTTAGCAGTTGGTGGTACAGCGACAGGCAGTCCGCCAAAGATGAGACCCAAATTAATAACCAAATGTGCTGCTCTTAGCGTGATATCCCAGTGGTTTCTCTTTAGTTCTGCTTACACTCTTTTCTAAACAATGGAGACTAAGCTGCCAAAAAACGTTCTGTTGGAGTAACTTTGTACATGCAAGTGTACAGAGTTAAACCAATCTAAGTGAAGAGGCTTCAATAATTACAAGCTTTCTGGGCCAAAACTCTTTAATTTGCCTTATACTCATTGCCTCATCATATCTCTGAACTTAAAAAGGGATCTATGGCATAGACAACAAAGTAACTTCCACTAAGGAATAAAACTGCCAGAGATCTGTAACAGAAAAATACGTGGGGTTTAAGGACCGTAAAGTTATTTATCTTCACTTTTCTGAGGTTGAGAAATGCTGATATCATACAGGAGCCCAAGCAGAGACCAGGGGATGGAGGAGGTGGGAAGAAGAATAAATACTGCAAAGGACAAACCACACATTTGTGGCAATTATGATAAAGGACAGTGGATGAACAGACAGTAACTAACATCTTACAGCACCCTCTTCTGAATCTGACTCATGGGGGACAGTTATTGGATTAAACCAAAAACATATTCCCTCTTGTCTCTGTAAATTGGCTCATCATTTCTCTCTAATATTCTCTAATACCACCATTGTGCATAACAAGATTACACCAGAATATAAGATTTGCCAGAGATCCCTATTTACTTAGCTGGCTGTTGAGTCAGCAGCATAATCCTGACCGCAAATACGCCTGACAACTTGTACTCCTAAAATCCTTGTTGCCATGTAGAACTGCTGCTACTTCAGAAATCAAGCATAAAATCATTACGTATGGCATTGGATGGACTCAGAATATATTAACATACTTCAGCCACTTAGCAAGTTCATTCGTTTAGTGAGCAAATAACAGAAGCTGATAGCTGCACATTTCAAAACCAAGACTAATTTTATACTAAACACGAACATCTTCCTCAAGCTATTTATATTCTGTAGAACAACTTTAGCATTATCTAGTAATTCTAAGTTTAACAGATAGTGACAGCTGCTGTCTAAGCAAGAAAATAAAACAATGCTGTCAAGTTAATTAATTTTTAATGTGACGAATTATTATTACATTCAGACTAAACCATTTAAATGGCAGACAGGATCAGCACTCAGGGAAAGATTATATTGGTAGGGATGCATTTAAAAATTAGTCCTATTTAACTTTTATCAACTGTGTTAGAGCAGTATTTTAACTTCTTTCAAAGATCTAATTCCTTTCAGATTGTTAATGCAGTACCAATGATGCAAAAGAAAATGAGATCTGTCTCATTCAACATTGATAAGACAGATACAGGCACTGAAAAGTTTTTCTCTTCTAGCTGTTGTTGGTAGTACGAGGTACTTGCTCTGCAGCACCTGTAACCTAGTACTCGCACTAGAACAGAACAGCAGTTTTCACTGGTATGAAACAAAGCGAACATAATAATTACAGCTGATATTAACATCTTATAAATCTTAGGTCATCATCCTGATGACGAGCTACCTAAGATGGACTTGTGTGGATTCCCAACTAAAATCAACGTATTTGTGCAGACAGAGATTCTATACAAAGAAAATTAACCTTACAAACCCAAGAAAACATCTCAAGTTCACTGGAATAACTACTGTTTGCAGGATCAAGACTCCCATCTTGTACAAAACAAAGACTAAATTTAAAAAGTAATCCCAGCTTTGCTTTGTAACTAGCTTGGATTTTATGAGATGGACCAGTACGAAAAATTCCCAAAATAAACTGCATTTAATGACTGAATTTTTGGTGTACAGAAAATATCGTGCTGCGATGATGTGGGTTCTTTTTTAAGTTATGAGTCATGATGAGCAGATGCCCATTTGCTGCTGCTGCTTTTTTTTTTTTTTAAATCACTAGGTAGCAACTTCTTCTATCAAAAATATTTGAGCAGGTAAACCACTGTTTTCACACCTCTGTTTAAAAGCTCAGAATATTCACATTCCTCCAAAACAGTCCATCCAAAGGAGAGCCTGTACACTCTGTCTTGTTATTTCAGTAACTTGCTTTTTTGGTAGGCAACACAAAATGCACAAACCTTTGAGGATTCACTTATCTTGTGTGGACGACAAATCCTGGTTTGTCTGGTTCCCTCCATGACAGGCTGATCCGCAGTACTTCTAGAACAAAAGCAAAGAAAGATGTTAGCAGCATACTGATCCTTTCAGACTGCTAAAAACCATATCGTGGTGAATAAATAACACAATCAAGAAGACCTGCACACGCTAATCCGCAGTTTGAAAATGTCTGAGTTAAAAAAAAAAAAATATTTCGCTCCCTGATGTTTTCTCCTGTTATTAATGCTTGGTTGTGTCAACAAGTCGGGCGTATGCTAGGGTACAATCAAAGACTAGCGCGTGTATTGTTGATGGCAAGTTATTTACTTACTGCTAGTTCTCGCTACAGCTGCCAGAGGTCAAACGTTTCCTCTCCATCCCCAGCCAGAGCACAAGCCCTTGCCGGGGCGGCCGTGACCCGAGCGGCGGGGCTGCG